CGGCCACCTCCGGGAGGGCAGGCACCCACCCGGCCCTCCCCTGCCGTCGGGCTCCACGCGGGGAGAAAACGCGCGGGGGAGCGAACGGGCCAGGGGAAGAATTCTTCCCCGCTTCGCTTTTTTTTTACCCTTTTACCCTATAATTGTTTTTTTACCCTTTTACCCTATTTATTTTCTTTTTACTCTTTTACCCTTTTCTTTTTTTTTTCACACTTTACCCTATTTATTTTCTCTCTTTAAAATAGCACTTTGGATTTTGTTGCATTAAAAAAAAAAAAGAAAGAAAAAAATAAAAAACACCCTCTGAGAGCCAGGAAAAAAGGCAAGAGTTTTACAAGAATGTTCCTTGAAATACAGATCAAGTGAGGCTCAGACATTTTTTCTCATTTAAACCGAGAGTTTCAGTACTTTTTGCCAGCTTTCTAGCGCATGCGAAATTTACCCGATCAAAACCAATTTATGTCATCGATTTTAACAGCTTACCACGGGTGTAACCGCTCCCAAACCCAACCAGGGCTACGAGGGGTATTGGGGGGCTGCGGGAGGTGGAAGCGGGGGGCGCGGCCGGGAAAGGTCTCCGGGAAATGTTGGGCGGCTGAGCCTCTGCAGCTGGGAGAGGAGCCGGGCTCCGGCGGGCCGGGCTTGAAAAGTCCCAAAGAGCCCCCCTGAAGCCGGCCTCGGGCTTCAGCGGCATTTCCATGCCTTTAGCGTCGCTATTCCCCTGCGGTTCTGCGCGAGGTTAAAGCTGCTTTAACAGGTTAAGGCTGATGTGGGGACAAGGCACGACATCTGTCAGTGCCCGGCATTGCGGATAGGAGCTTAAATAGAGAAACAGAAAGTTAAAATCAGCCAGATCTTCACGCGGGAGAGGATTTAAAAACCGTAAGAGGACTCTGAAGTGAACTTTCCGCCTTCTTTTAGGCTCCGCAGCGAGCTCGGGTTTAAACGATCGCTCCTATCACCCGCACCCACCCGTAGCCTTAATTGTTTCCTTTTTAAAACAAAACAAAACAAAAAAAAAGAGAGAGGTAATTCTGTTTGTTTTCTGTCGTGGAAAGAGCCGGCCCCGGGCGCCGTGACACGCAAAGCACCGCACAAGGCCCGCGCTTGCGGGGACGGGGCAAGGGAAGCAGAAATCCTCCTCCCTGCCGCTCCTTTTTTTTTTTTCCCCCCCGTTCTCCCCATCGGAGGCCTGGGAAATTTCCCCAAATTTCAGGCTTTGGGGGTTGGGGGGCCAAGGATTCGGGGTTGAGGGTGCTCAGAGCCGGCCGCCGGCGCCGTGCCTTATTCGTTTCCCCCCGCGGCCGCCCCCGCCGTGCCTTATTCGTTTCCCCCCGCAGTTGTATAATTTCCAGCTCTCCACGTGAACTGAACCTTTTATCGAATCATAACAACAGACCTTTAGGCTCCAGGAAAACGACTTTGTTTTAAAAACAACCAGTTTTCCGCATGAAGGAAAGGTGAAGGGAGAAAAAAAAAAAATATGCAAAAAAACACGTATATACACAGACAAGCGCCAGACTTGGAGCAGAAAAAAACAGCATGGATTTATTTTAAGGTAAGTACAACAATTAGGACCACATAAGACAAACGAACTTTGAAGCAGGTTAAAGCAAATAGTCCTTAGGAATGGTCAAGGTGAAATCTATTATACAAAACATCACACGTCGTAAATAATAATAAAAAAGTATCAGATACTTTGAGTTTTTTTTCTTTCAAAAAAAAAAAAATCCACCAGCAAAAAATAAATTATTTCCTCGTCTTGCGAAAAGAACAGCTCTAAAACGAAAGGAACTCTATTGCATAATTGTACACAGAAGAAGAAATCACTTGTCATTAATTTGGAAGTTAGGAATCGTTGGGCGAGACAAAAATAATCCAGTGAACTCAACTTTAAATATTATATTAATGGCTCTGAAAATCAGCCTGATTAGAAATCCACACATTTTTTACAGCACAACAGAGAACTTAAAAAATACCCAGGACATATATTTATATATATATATTTATATACTTTTTTTT